GCTTTGACCCTTTGGTCCCGCCTCTCGACCGTCAAATCGTGTACAGATTCTGGAGCCTACTGGGCTCTATAAAATCTACATTTGAAGCTGTGATGTGGTGGAATCTGCCTCCACCACATCACTACTTAATGCATTCCATTTGTTAACTACTCTGACAATGAAAAATTCTCTCTAATGTGTATGTAGTTCATTTGGGTACTAAGTTTACACCTGTGTTCCTTTGTTTGTGTTCCACCCATGCTAAATAGTTTGTCCACCCTGTCAATTTCCCCGAGAATCTTGAAGGTGGTGATCATGTCTTCCCCTTATTCTATCTTCTAGGAATGCGAGATATAGCTCCCATAGCCTTTCCTTGTAGCTCATACCATTAAGTTCTAAGACTAATCTGGTGGCATACCTCTGAATCATCTCTAACTTTGCCTTATGTTTAACTAAGTTTGAACTCCAGGCTGGAGCTGCATACTCTAGGATTGGTCTGACATAAGTGGTATACAGGGTCCTGAACAATTCCGTACACAAAGTTTGAAAAGACAGTTCTTATGTTGGCCAAGGTAGCACATGCCTCTCAGGATATCCTTTTGATGTGGGCTTCTGGGGACAGGTTCGGAGTGATATCAACCCCCATATCTTTCTATGGTGATGGTTGTATGTAGTTGTGGTGTTTTCTAAGATCTAACTCTATGGGACTACATGACCCACTAACATGAGGGGCATTTCTTGCACCAACATACATAAATAGTAAAAGTATCAGGCTAATATCACATGGCCACTGCTGAAAAAATAAATAGTGAAAATCCGTAAGGAACCCATACCATGTTTAAAACCTAACGAGCCATTTCACATGGGACAATTGTATATAATCAGTTAGCGTATTAGCTAAAGAAAAGTTACGGTGTTTCAGTAGATTCCTACAAAATTACAGACGTTACAGCAACATTTCAAGGTATCAAAAACTAGATATGTTTTTATTATTTAAGAACAATGAGACATAACCAATCTTGAACAACTAGATTACAACCATTCTGGAAATATTTAAACAACTTAAAATTGTGCTGAAAGTTGGTAGTTTACAGAAATATCACCAGGCCATTTTTAGACTATCACACTACAGGGTACAGTACTAGTGTATTGCACTAAAGCGAATTCTAACTATGTTGTTAAATCTCTGAAATGCTAGTAATTTTATGAGTATAGAGGGGATATAATCATCAGCAAGATGTAGACGAGTATGGGGTTATTTAGGGAGGTCAGAGTTGTGTAACGAGCATAAAGAATGTATTCATTACTCTATAGGGAAAAATATTATATTAGAAGTGTTAAGACTTGTAATTTTCTTCAGAATAGTTTTATACAAAGGAATAAGTAGTCCATTAGAGTAGACAGAGCAAGTGTACAATAAACTCCATCCCTCCACAACCACCAAAAACATATTTTTAACACTTTCGCGTACCCCAACATGGGCCAGGTGTTTCCTGGGAGCGCGCACCCACACTAACATATGTACTCTTTTCAGTGTTCTGATCTAAAGGTGCTAATTTTAAAACTAGTCCCATAATTGAGCAATAACTGAAATTTTAACAAATATTGTTAATTTTGGATGCTTATCACCACAAGCATTTATAATCTTTCCAGTGTTCTGACGTCAATTATCGTGCTATGTTGTGCATTTTGGTATCAAATTGTTCGCAATCTAAAGGCGCACATTTTAAAACTAGTCCCATGATGATCGGATAAAAAATATAATTTTAAAAAATATTTAAAATTTTAACAAAACATGCATCACCGATGGACATCTGTCAATGTATTTATTGACGCAGACTGCGTCGCCGCTGGACGAAAGTGTTAAGTGTTGCAAAGCACAAGTTAATTTGTATAAATTAATATCAAACATTATTATAGTCATATTTTAAGGGTGGGAGGATAACTAGTGACATTCAACAAAACTATTAAATTTTAAATTGGAAAAGTACCAGTGGAGTGAGTTGAGGGCTTTGTGGTCTGAAACTGTTGGACAAACATTCACCCACATGGTTTAATAGATACTGGAACTTTTTCATCATGGATGTTATTCTACTAGAGACCTTTGTCAAGCAGACACAACAACCACACATCAGCTGACAAGTGCTTACAAAACACAGACGTGAAACCATCAATGTTGGGCACAGCATAACTATCTACTATGATAAATCAACAGATGAAAATTGCTGCCCAAATAAAATCCATCCAGTGAAAAGCTATTTAGGGAAGCAATTCAAATAGATTACTGTACTTGAAGAATCTTCTGGCATCAGAGCGCATGTGAGGAAATTATAATGCAGCTATGCCGCTTTTCTGTTATAAGGTAAAGTAAAGGTGTTTCGTTAGAGGTGTTATAATGGTTGTAAATGTTAACACCACGGAGAGTAAACGTATAATGATGACCTTCATTGTGCCAGGGTTTGGCATCACCAGCTCTAACACCCCTCTTCACTATATCTAATATTTTCAATACGTATAAAAGTATTCACATAAAAGTTTTCAACATTATTTACAAGCTTCACTTAACACTTGCATAACAGTGTATTATATAACTAAGCCAAAGGAGTTCCATGCCTATCCATTTTAAAATATAAATGTAGACTTAATTATCTACAGTAATTTTTAGATAATACATTATCTAAAATCTAAAACAATTGAGGAATTCCAGGCCTCCTATCCTAGTATATACAGTATAAATATGAAAAAAATTAAACGATATACTATATAGAAATAAAAACAATAAAATGAGGTCTCAAACTTAAATAGGACATATTACTTCAGTCAGAAAATGTAAAAAATTTATTTAACGTGACGTCGAAGTCCCCGGGAAAACCACCGACGCAAAAACTAACATTAAAAGTCTACCCAGATCAACCGAGGCCAGAGCCCTAGCACAACCCAACAAAGAGGACCGTGAACAACCCCCCAGAGCCCCATCAAGCCGAAGCCGCCGACAGAAACTGGGCAACGATATCCTCTGGAAACAACAGAGGACAAAATGGCGAAGCAGACTGCAGATCCAGGGCCCAAAGATCAAAGACAGAGTCAGCACAGCCTGCCGACACGTGAAGCGAGAGGAGAAGAACATGAAAACCGCCTCCAGGAGGATTACCTCTCTCTCCTGGCTATACATGTCCAAATTTATTGACTTGTAAATCATTCCTTCTGAAGATGTATTAATATATGCAAGTACTTAAGGAAATTCCCGTTTCAATTCTTCTTCCGCGGTCTGACACTCACATTTTTTATCACGTGTTAATTTTCGTGATTTACACACACGCACACACACAATATATATACTGTGTGTATATATATATATATATATATATTATATATATATATATATATATATATATATATTAATAAAAAGGATACAATTTATAAGACAAAATAATAATAAAAAAAAGCAATCCGGTAGTGAAGACATTGTCCCTGTAGTAAGAGCTGCTGCCAGCCAGGTGGCGCCACCAGTGGTGCCTTCTCACATCAACCACCCAGCCAATTTTGAGCTGATGAAAGGCAAAATCCTGACACAAAAAACCCGAGGCAATTTGAGGAACAGCAACAACCTTCATTAACCATCCAGATCAACGATTATAAATATTCAAATAACTCCTTGTTATCATATCGATCTCATCTTTTAAATCTTGGTTCTTAACAAGAGGACATGGAAACCAAATACAGTAGAACCTCGAGTGACGACTCTCTCAAATGGCGACCATTTTGGGTAACAAACGCCCCGATCGCCGACAATTCGTCTCGTTATTGAGAGTAAATGAAAAATACGAAAATGGAACACATTTGAAACAAAGAAAGATTACTATAATGGAGCAGCCTACCAGACAAACACTGAACGAACCTTTATGGCATTTGTTTGTTTTTCAAATTGTTTCAACCGTTTTCTTCATTTTATTTTATTTAAGAAACATGGAGCAGCCTACATGCCGACCACCGAACAAACCTTTTGCTATAAGACAAATGAAAAAAAAAATTTAACAAATTTGAAGAAAGAAAAATGTCATAAAGGTTTGGTCAGTGTATGTAAGGTAGACTGCTCCATTATTTAAAACATTGAGTATCATATTGACTTTTACAGTGGTAGAACGGATTAATTTGATTTCCATTATTATCAATGGGGACATTTGTTTTGTATGACGTCCGTTTCACATGATGATCACGGCGCCGGAACGGATTAAATTCGTTATTCGAGATTCCACTATAATTGGGTATGGGATCTGATCTCCAAACAATTTTAAAAAGTTGTTAGATTTTATAACTCACAATCAGTAACTACCTCTACTCTAGGTTTTAATTGCACAAAAAAAAAGGCTAAAATCTCAATAATTGTTACTAGCTTGGCAAAATGAGGTATGGGGACATATTGCATAAGCCAGCAGTCTGTAATCTTAACAAGGTTAAGATCGATCCCCTGCTCATAAGCTACCTAACACTATAGCACTCTTCGAACATCCCTGGCGTCCGATTTTTTTCTCTAGAGTCCGAGCATCAGACAGTGCTAGCGTCCGATAAAAATATATTTATATAAAATTCATTAATTATCCGATCGACTTTGGGATAGTTTCAAAATAAGCGCCTTCAGAATGCGCACAATTTGATACCAAAATGTAAGATAAGATGTAACACGAAAATTTATATCAGAACAGTGGAAAGATATAATTAATTTTGTGATGATGAGCGTCCAAAATTAAAATATTTGTTAAAATTCCAGTTATTGCTATTATTATGGGAATAGTTTTAAAATACACGCCTTTATATTGCAAACAATAATATACCAAAATGAAAGACGTAACACGAAAATTGATGTTATCAAACTGAACGAGTATTCACATTAGGCTGCGGAGAGCAAATTGGTGCTCGTTCACAGGTAACTTTAGGCTTTGCTGCGGGGAATCACGCCGGGCTTTTGGACATTATATGCATATACCCGTAGGGAAATCTACTGCGAACACAATGATACCAAAAAGAACGACATAGCACGAGAATTAAGGTGAGAAAACTGAAACGAGTATACACATTTCGGTGTCGTCGCGGGCTCCTCGTACGCCAGGGGCATTATCTCTAAGTTGGTGGCGCGCATGCCCGGGGCGCGAAAATGTTAACATTATTAGGAGTACAGTACAACATATATTAGTTAAAAAGATCATCAAGAGTATTACCAGCTAAATATACCTTAATGTCACTTAAAGTTTCTGGCAATTTAATGAAAGAGGTTCTTAAACTGTCAATATTTTGAAAAGAACAACCAGTCATACTCTCTGATGTGGATGCCTTATTTACATCAGATTTAAATGCAAATTTCTCTTCTTGTGGTGCTGGTGTAACAGTTGAGGAACTAGTTGTGGCTAAATACTCCGGTGGAGAAACACTGCGGCGGCCATTTATTTGACTAGCACTCGTCTTGAACTGATCATAGTTTTTCTGGTCCCTGTAAACAACAAATTATTCATGAATATAAAAATAGCATCATATATAATTATAATCATGTTTGAAAACTTACAAATTTTTTTTTGCATATATTGTCTCTTATCTTTATACTGGACATGTAAGTTACAGGTACAGTACAGTGCAACCTTGATTCAGCAAATATATGTCCCCGGTAACTAGGCCCAAATCATTGCCACCTAAGATGACCATGAGAAATGTCATTTTTTTTTAATAAGACACAAAAAAACATTGCCTCATTTATCCTAATAATTCACTCAAATAATAAATAAATAAATAAATAAATAAATAAATAAATAAATAAATAAAATGATCAGAGCCATATTATAGGAGTTAGTTACCATTTGTATCCTAATTTTTTTTTACACTATTGATGAATTTGACTGACCATACCATGCGGTTACCTTGAGCTGAATCCGAAGGTAAAGGTCCCTACGGGCCGGTCGCTGACCAGGATCCAGATTCAAGAAGTTATGCAAGTACAGTGACATCTCGGCTTATGAATGCCCCTCTTTACAAACTTTTTGGGTCACGAGCCCAATTTCTTTGAAAATCCGAATCGGGTTGTGAACTTTGCCCCAGGAAACTAAGTTTGTTGATACGCGTATGGCCGATCTAGCACGGCGATCGCGCCCCAGTTTACCAGTGCCTCCCGCATAGTCACAATCGCGCCTGAATTCTTTGTAAAGAATTTCAGTTTGGGGGGGGGGGGAATTTTTGGGTATTTGAACATAAAAGTTGTGATTATATATCTCGCAATAGGTCCCAAGAAAGCCAGTGGTAAGGTTCAAGCCAAGAAAACACATGTGAGAATGACCATAGAGAAAAAACAAGAGATCATTCGTAAACATGAAAATGGTACATGGGCTGTTGAACTAGCTAGGCAGTACAATAAATCTACGTCAATGACATCCACTGTAATTGCTAAGGAAAAGGACGTTATGAGTGCTAAAGTGACAAAAAGTGTAACAACAATCATGAAACAAAGAACACAAACACATGAGGATGTTGAAAAGTTGTTATTAATTTGGATACACAAGGAGTTAGCGGGTGATAGTGTTTCGGAGGCCATCATTTGTGAGACAGCAAGAAAAGGTCTTGCATGAAGACCTTTTAACCCCTAAGCTGCTCTGGGCTATTTGGCCTTCAACACCCACAGGAAAAAAAAAAATCTTATAAAAGTGTTCATTTGTGTTCCCTGATCACAGGAAAAATAATAAAATCGTGGGTGGTATATTTTAGGCGCAATAGGGCGGAGAAAAGCCTGGCAAGAAAGAGGCATTGACAGAACAATCGTCAGTAGTGGTCTGCTCTGCCCGAGTTGTCAGGCGGGAGTTGCCACAAAGATAGTATTACCAAATTATGCCAATGTCCCTGAATAATTTTTTCTAATCTTTTTGCAGTACAGTAATATTATTCAATAGTGTGTAGTGTGATATATTTATATAATAAAATGTGTGAATCATCGCTATACTCAAAAGTATTGTGATCATATTAGTAATTCAATTATGTTCATAAAACAATAAACAAAGTTTTGCTGTTATTACACTATATACACAGGTTACATAGGTATACAGGTATACACTGGTTATTACACTATATACACAGGTTGCCACAGACAACTGACGCTCCCTCCCTCCTTCCCTCACTGGTTCAAGGCCAGATGCGCTAACATTCCTCCTACAAGTATACTGTTTGTGGTGTTATTACACTATAAACACATTATATATAAGTATCTACATGTTTTGTTCATCATAACTGTTCAACTAAGCTGGTATAGTGCCCAAAGAGCATAGTGGCCACCCAAACACAGCATGACAAGTCATGCAGATGATGGCACCTCACCCACCATAATGGCTTCTCCCAACACACCTTTTGCTCTTATTACACTATATATACACATTATATATATATATGTATTTACATTTGTGTTCACCATAACGAACCATTAAGTTGATATGCTGTGTCAAAAAGCAGCGAAGAGTGGCCGCCACCCCAGCCAGTCACTGGCTGCCACTCCCTCCCTCACCTCACCACACTCGCCAACATTCTCCTCCCACCATACTGTTTTTGCTTTTATTCACTATATACAGATGTTATATATATCAGTATCTGCACGTTTTATTCACCATAGCGAACCACTAAGCTGGTATAGTAAGTGCAGACCGCAACAGCTAGGTGGCCACACATTCAGCAAACGACGCTACAGCCCTCCCACCCTCAACATTATTCCTCCCACATCACAGAGCAAATTATCACAGCAATCCTGCTATTATGAGAATCCTGGTAAATTTTATCATGGTCAGGGGTCTTTATAATACTATCATCACTAAATAATACCAGTTACAGTACATATATTTGTTACATTTTTAGGTGATGCTGTGGTCACAAGCTGAACAGCAGTGCTGTGAGCTCATGCTGCGTGCACTAGCCTTGGTGGTTCACTCAGTACTGAGGCTTTCACACCCAGGAAAATTGTTGAAAACTGTTAAATTTTTTTTTAAATTGTTGCCCACAATTTAAAAAAAAATGGCAACTGTTTACAAGAGCTCTGAGGAAGGCGATGTGAACCCTGTGTAGTCGCGGGCCGTTTAAATCATGCGCGGTACTCCAAAACATATGAAGGAGTGCGCACTTTTGCGAGTTACTCAACATGTCATATGAAGTGTTGCGCAGCTTAAGGGTTAAATCAAATCCCCGGAACGAGTGATGCAGATATGAAAGTGTACTAACATTAAGTGTATATAGTTAAGAAGTACATGGGTGATGATTTTGTTTAGCATTGTTTACCCCCATTCCCATTGGATTAACTATTACTTCTCAGTTCTTAATAACATACTTAAGATTTTGGGTTGGTTTTGGTAAGAAGAGGCACAAAGGCCTGATAGAAAGTTTGAATGAAAAGAACCCGGTTATTGGCTGAGGCCATAACCCTGTATACCAAATCTACTGGAATCTAATCTACGGTTGTAACAAATTAAATGAGAAGATGGTGGAGGCCAAAACCATCAGTATCTTGAGGTTATCTTGAGGTTATCTTGAGATGATTTCGGGGCTTTAGTGTCTCCGCGGCCCGGTCCTCGACCAGGCCTCCACCCCCAGGAAGCAGCCCGTGACAGCTGACCCAGGTACCTATTTTACTGCTAGGTAACAGAAACTCTGCCCATTGTTTCTTGCCAGTGCCCGGGATCGAACCCGGGACCACAGGATCACAAGTCCAGCGTGCTGTCCGCTCGGCCGACCGGCTCCCACAGTAGTTTCAAAGTGTTATATTACAGGGTGCTGGGAGGACGGGACACCACAAGCATAGCTCTCATCCAGGGTACTGGGAGGACGGGACACCACAAGCATAGCTCTCATCCAGGGTGCTGGGAGGACGGGACACCACAAGCATAGCTCTCATCCAGGGTGCTGGGAGGACGGGACACCACAAGCATAGCTCTCATCCAGGGTGCTGGGAGGACGGGACACCACAAGCATAGCTCTCATCCAGGGTGCTGGGAGGACGGGACACCACAAGCATAGCTCTCATCCAGGGTACTGGGAGGACGGGACACCACAAGCATAGCTCTCATCCAGGGTACTGGGAGGACGGGACACCACAAGCATAGCTCTCATCCAGGGTACTGGGAGGACGGGACACCACAAGCATAGCTCTCATCCAGGGTACTGGGAGGACGGGACACCACAAGCATAGCTCTCATCCAGGGTACTGGGAGGACGGGACACCACAAGCATAGCTCTCATCCAGGGTACTGGGAGGACGGGACACCACAAGCATAGCTCTCATCCAGGGTACTGGGAGGACGGGACACCACAAGCATAGCTCTCATCCAGGGTACTGGGAGGACGGGACACCACAAGCATAGCTCTCATCCAGGGTACTGGGAGGACGGGACACCACAAGCATAGCTCTCATCCAGGGTACTGGGAGGACGGGACACCACAAGCATAGCTCTCATCCAGGGTACTGGGAGGACGGGACACCACAAGCATAGCTCTCATCCAGGGTACTGGGAGGACGGGACACCACAAGCATAGCTCTCATCCAGTAACTACACACAAAACGTATATGTAGTGTATATATTTACCTTAGTTTCCTATGATGTTGGTCTCCTGTCAAATGGTCTGAAATGCTTGTTACACTGTTGCAGGGAACGCAGCACACCAAACACTGATAACCACCATTAACTTTAATAACACAGCCAACAGCCATTGCTGATTCCAATAAACCTGAAAGAAAATGATACCAAATTTAATATAATAGGCACATACCAGATTAAATATATAGGAACACACTTCACTGTTCATTAATTGTAATCCTTTCAAGCATTGAATGAATAAATATTAACACGAACATCTATAGTTATTCACACGAACATCTAAAGGTATTAACACGAACATCTATAGTTATTCACACGAACATCTAAAGGTATTAACACGAACATCTAAAGGTATTAACACGAACATCTAAAGGTATTCACATGAGCGTCTAAAGGTATTAACACGAACGTCTAAAGGTATTAACACGAACATCTAAAGGTATTCACACGAACATCTAAAGGTATTAACACGAACATCTAAAGGTATTAACACGAACATCTAAAGGTATTCACACGAACATCTAAAGGTATTCACACGAACATCTAAAGGTATTCACATGAGCGTCTAAAGGTATTAACACGAACGTCTAAAGGTATTAACACGAACTTCTAAAAGGTATTCACACGAACATCTAAAGGTATTAACACGAACGTCTAAAGGTATTAACACGAACATCTAAAGGTATTCACATGAGCATCTAAAGGTATAACACGAGCATCTAAAGGTATTCACACGAACATCTACAGTAGTAGTAAGCATAACCCTCAGCATGTATAGTTGCCTTGTGTCCGTGTGTGCATGTTCATGCATGCCCCAATGTTTTCTTGCAATTTGAGAGGATTAAACAAGCAACACCACAGTGAAACTGTGCATAATAGTGAATGTCTGAATCACACTGAAATCAAAATAAGCTAAAGGAACAAACCATATATAGTTTTTGTTAAAGTAATAGTAGAGAAACACATGGCGAGTGTTGAATGGTGCAGGGTAGAGGAAGGTAGTGAGTGACCTGAGATAACATGTGGCTAAGCAAGTAGTCAGGTCAGCACCAGTCCAGCCACCCAAAGTTTTACCGAGAGGAGGATATTTTAGGAGGAGAGGACTTTAAGACCATAACATTAACCGTTCAGCTGCACATCACATCATAAGAAGCTGTAGTGTATGGAGTAAGATTTTAAAATTCCTGCAGGTACACAGGGCTCATATCTGCTTCCCCAGGCCTCCAGTAAACAGATGCCATTTTGAAAAAATTGTGGGAACCATTTCTGGTTGTGAAGACCGCAGTACTGAGTAAGCAACCAAGGCTGGCGCATGCAGCACTACCTAACAGCACTGTAACCACAGCATCGCTAAAAAATTATGAAATACAGTACAACCTCGATTCAACGAATCTCTGGCTGGTTTGTACACTTTTCAGGCCGGATTTATTCGCCCGGTTTGACGAACAATGGTTCACCGAAGCGGGGAATGTTCGGATTTGCTTACGAAGTCCAGACAGACTTCACAGACTGGTGGAAAACTTTCCCATTCTATCACAGATCACATTTAATAATTCTCTCATATGACAAGTTGGATCACACAATCACACAAGTGGATTGTACAACAAGTGGTCCACAAGCTTACGATGTTGGGACAATTCACAAAGTGGTGGAAAACTTTCTCATTCCATCACAGGTTACAATTAATAATTATTTCATATGACAAGTTGGATCACACAAGTGGACTACACAAGTTAACCACTCATGTGGACTACAAGTGGTCCACACACTTACGAAGTGGGGACAGAGTTCACAGAGTGGCGGAAAACGTTCTCATTCTATCAGATTAGAATTAATAATTCCTTCATAAGACAAGTTGGATCACACAAGTGGACCACACAACAAGTGAACCATATGAACCAAACACCAGCCAGAGTGGTCCACACAACCAAACACCAGCCAGAGTGGTCCACACAACCAAACACCAGCCAGAGTGGTCCACACAACCAAACACCAGCCAGAGTGGTCCACACAACCAAACACCAGCCAGAGTGGTCCACACAACCAAACACCAGCCAGAGTGGTCCACACAACCAAACACCAGCCAGAGTGGTCCACACAACCAAACACCAGCCAGAGTGGTCCACACAACCAAACACCAGCCAGAGTGGTCCACACAACCAAACACCAGCCAGAGTGGTCCACACAACCAAACACCAGCCAGAGTGGTCCACACAAGTGAATGACAGAGTTTCTATGATTTTCGTTCACTGATTTGTGGCACACGTATCTTTGTAAATTAATTAAAAGGCTGAAGCATGATTACCTACCTACATGTGGTAAAATCTCCTTATAGACATTTTCTGTGATGAAACAAGATGAGTGAGGGTGGACAGATAAAAGAATACTGTACTGTAAACCTCACTTTACAGTGAGGTTTCACTCACTTTCATCTGTGTCGTCACAGTTCAGTGACCCACAACTTTGAAAAGTTTCATATTAATAAATAACTTCTAAAGCCAGTGTTTTAATAGCTTTTAATTATCCCAATTAAACTAAACTAAATAAAACCAAAAATATACTGTACTGCAATATGATAAGACATCTGCTATTTGAGAAATTACTGTATGTTATTGGAACAACAACTCCAGCATGAGTGGACGGGTCTAATCCTTGTACACACAGCACCATGTGTGTTTCGTTCGATTTCGTCGCCATAGTTCAGTGACTACAGCCTCGAAATAATAAAATTAATAAATCAGTTCTAAAATCAGTTTTTTTTTATATCTCTTATTATCCTAACAATGTTACTAAACTAAATATATTATCCAAAAATATAAAATTTGATGTAAATCCAATATTTGAGAGAAATTTATGTTATTGGATCTGGCTTAAACACCAGACTACTGCAGGGTGTATAGACCTAGTCTGTGTTCATACAGTAGGCACCCAGTGCCCTCCATCCATCCCCCCTCTCCCTCCCTCCCTCCATCCATCCAGAATTTAAGAAACAAATCAAGTTAAAAAAAAAGTTAACTGGGTCAATTCCCACCACCGACACACCTCCCTCACTCCCCATCCCTACACCCCATACACACGCTCTCTGGTTCACCTCAACATCCGACATTTTCAAGAGGAAACTAGATTTATTCCTCCAAGGAGTGCCGGACCAACCGGGCTGTGGTGGGTATGTGGGCCTGCGGGCCGCTCCAAGCAACAGCCTGGTGGACCAAACTCTCACAAGTCAAGCCTGGCCTCGGGCCGGGCTTGGGGAGTAGAAGAACTCCCAGAACCCCATCAACCAGGTATCCATCCCTTCCTTCCATCCATCCTTCCATCCATCTCCATCCTCTCCCTCCCAGCCTCTGCCTCCCTGCCTCCCTCCCAGCCTCTGCCTGCCTGCCTCCCTCCCAGCCTCTGCCTCCCTGCCTCCCTCCCAGCCTCTGCCTGCCTGCCTCCCTCCCAGCCTCTGCCTCCCTGCCTCCCTCCCAGCCTCTGCCTGCCTGCCTCCCTCCCAGCCTCTGCCTCCCTGCCTCCCTCCCAGCCTCTGCCTGCCTGCCTCCCTCCCAGCCTCTGCCTCCCTGCCTCCCTCCCAGCCTCTGCCTCCCTGCCTCCCTCCCAGCCTCTGCCTCCCTGCCTCCCTCCCAGCCTCTGCCTGCCTGCCTCCCTCCCAGCCTCTGCCTCCCTGCCTCCCTCCCAGCCTCTGCCTGCCTGCCTCCCTCCCAGCCTCTGCCTCCCTGCCTCCCTCCCAGCCTCTGCCTGCCTGCCTCCCTCCCAGCCTCTGCCTCCCTGCCTCCCTCCCAGCCTCTGCCTGCCTGCCTCCCTCCCAGCCTCTGCCTCCCTGCCTCCCTCCCAGCCTCTGCCTCCCTGCCTCCCTCCCAGCCTCTGCCTGCCTGCCTCCCTCCCAGCCTCTGCCTCCCTGCCTCCCTCCCAGCCTCTGCCTGCCTGCCTCCCTCCCAGCCTCTGCCTCCCTGCCTCCCTCCCAGCCTCTGCCTCCCTGCCTCCCTCCCAGCCTCTGCCTCCCTGCCTCCCTCCCAGCCTCTGCCTGCCTGCCTCCCTCCCAGCCTCTGCCTGCCTGCCTCCCTCCCTCCCAGCCTCTGCCTGCCTCCCTCCCAGCCTCTGCCTGCCTGCCTCCCTCCCAGCCTCTGCCTGCCTGCCTCCCTCCCAGCCTGCCTACATTTCAGCCTCTCCATTCCTGCCTGCCTGCCTGCCCATCCACCCACCAGTCAGCCATCACTGACACAATGAGTGCACTTGGAGCCAACATGGTGCACGGATGTTCCTTGATTGTGCCAATATATCCTACAAAGTCAGGGAATGAACACTCCAGCCTCTTGACAAATCAAAACAGTGTTAAAATTAAAGTTGCAGTAATTTTAGTGCACAATAGTTTTCATAAACTGTATTGTAGTACTCAACATACAGCAGGACTACCCAATCAACAGTGTTAACGGCATAATACACTACAGTACGTATTTACTGTACGGCATTCAGAACTCCAAGAGACTTCAAGATGAACATAACTACAACAATAAGGTAAAGAACAAATGTAACAGTATTTTGTTGTAGGGTAATAATATATATGACAATGCATTTTTATTGTGTACAAGAAAAAGAGACACTGGCGCAAATGCCTCCTGAAGGTCACCTCTTGCAACGCATCCAACGCACTGGGGTTGGTCCCATATAGTGCGTTGAATCGAGGTTGTACTGTACTGTATATACGAAACTGCTATTATTTTGCGATGATAGTATCATAGAAGAGCCTGACTGTCATAAAGACTGTGTACAATGTTCAGATATCAGTGAACACAATGCTGGCCATGATGTTCACAGCACTAGGCAGGCAGCCACAGCACACTGCCATTGTTTGGTCAATGTAAGCATCTGGAAACGACAGTTCATGTGCCTTTACAAAATAAACACGTGGAAAGTTCTTCAGTTACAGGATTTAGTGACCAGGATTATGATAACAGCAGCACTGTGGCGAGAATTAGCAATGTGCGTAGTATGTTGGGAGAAGGATCCTTGCTGTGTGAGGTGATGGCGTCTGCGGGCTGGTGTACTCACATTGTTGTGCTTGCGGGGGTTGAGCTTTGGCTCTTGGTGGTCACTATGCTGTTTGGACACATCATACCAGCTCAGTGGTTCATTATAGTACACAAAAAAGAGCAGTCTCCGTGGTGTAGTGGTAAGACACTCGCCTGGCGTTCCGCAAACGCTATGTCATGGGTTCGTATCCTGGCCGGGGAGGATTTACTGGGCGCAATTCCTTAACTGTAGCCTCTGTTTAACGCAACAGTAAAATGTGTACTTGGATGAAAAAACGGTTCTTCGCAGCAGGGGATCGTATTCCAGGGACCATAAGATTAAGGACTTGCCCGAAACGCTACGCGTACTAGTGGCTGTACAAGAATGTAACAACTCTTGTATAGATCTCCAATAAAAAAAAAAAAAAAAAAAAAAGCGTTGAATGTAATAATACACTAGTTTCTGGGCGAGCCCCGGAGGCGCCCTGAAGATATCTATACCGATTAAGTGCCATGCTACTAGAAGTCATCAGTCACAAAGTTCTTGTATGCCCATTGTTGAGCAGGAGTTGGAACCTGGCCCCAACAGAGAGGCACTGGGAGCAATGACCCATGAATACATTACATTTAAAGTTCGTCCTCTAGCCATCGACCAGGGAAGGCATCCAGAAAGGTTGGCGAATCGAAACAGATTACTGCCTGGTACTGCCTGCTTGAAAAATGAGACCAATACCCTCAAATCAAAAGAACTCGCCCAACAAAGAAAACTAACAAGCAAAACTTCATCTAACTAACCCTCCGCTCTCATCAGCTTCCCATCCAATGATGAGGAGGGGAGGGGGGAGCCTCACGTGCCAAAGAGGTCATGTAATATGGCAAAACTGAAAGGTCATGTCAATTTCAGGAGGTATATGAAAAGGGCTACGTGCAGGAGGTATATCTTGAAGTTATCTTAAGGCAGTTACACCAAAATTGTATATATACAATTAGCGCCACTCAAGGGTTAATAAACTTTTTTTTTTTTTCCCCCCTGCAATCAGTATACTTTCTCCTATTTGTATCCCCATTACCCATCACCTGCTAGGATTAAATTCCAATACCTACAAATTTGACAATTGTACCATGAATCAATTGGTGTGAAGATTCTCCAACCACCTTCTGATTAACCCTTACAATTTTGTTTAAGATGCAGCTGCCCTCTGGATCTGGGATTCACAAATTGGGGTTCATGACAGGGGTACACATGAAAGGCTGGCTAAAATTGATTTGAAGGAAGAGAAAGAGCCACAGTTAGACGAGTCTCCATCAGATTGGTTTGCCCACAATATCTATCATTAATAGGATACAGGTCAATGGTCGGAAAACTCGGGGAGGACACGGCGAGCAAAAGTTTAGAAGCTCTCCACTAGATCATACCTCTAATATAATGAGTAAAAGAAGAGTAATGTACTTGTAAAGCAAATATTTATTTTCTTTGACATGAGCCTTACCTTGAGATGTATCGAAACTTTGACTTATTGAAGTACAATCCTTTTTCTCACACCAATTTGCTATATTTTTAGCAGGAGTGGCACAAGCAGTAGACTGATGTGCATACCCTTTTGCTCTGTAAAGGAGAAATTTCACAATAAATATCATCATCATCATTATGGGAAGGACCAACATACAAAAGTGATTATTATTATTCCACCGAGTGATGATAATGTTCATCATTACCTAAACAAATTTTAGATTAAGTTCAAATATTACTAAAATGCAGTATGACAAACTATTATAAAATTATTCCTGTCAATCAATAACTCAAAACTATATGCAGAAAAAAAATAGGATTGCATGTAAATAAATGCCAATTTCTGAGTGAGCCATGGAGCCTAAAACTATCACACAAATTCTGTGCCAAACTACTAGGTGCCATCAGTTGTGGAGCTCTATTGCCTACCAGGGACCACGAGCCAGAACCTGGCCTCCTCAGAGAAGCGCAGGGAGCAGTGGCATATGAACACACTACATTTAAAGTTACTCATAATTGCCATCACCAGGAAAGCACCTAGAAAGTTTGGAAAAACAAAAGACTACTAAATGATTAAAGATACCTCGGGCTCAAAACTGCCAAAATAACTCCCTCAACAATGAACACAAACAACAAAAATTTTGTGAAACTAGTAATGAGCTAGTTTGCCTCATATTTCCCCCTCGATTGGGGGAAGAAGAGAGGCAGGCCGGGTCACACTACCCTCAGTTCTATGATGATGGAACACACAGACTATGGAGAAGGGGTGGTGTCAGGGAGGTTATCTTGCGGTTATCTCGAGATGATTTCGGGGCTTAACACTTTCGCGCTCTCGGCGCTCAAAATAAAACAATACCCCAGATGCTTTCGGCACTTCGCGCGCCTACGCGGTAAGACCGAAAAAGTGTACACTCTTTTGACTGTCCTGACAATAATTGAAGGCGCACGTATTTAAATTTGGTATCACTGTGTTCGCAATGAAATTGTCTATAAGAGCATACCTATAAAATGCCGCCCAAGCATAAGGAGTATCAACACCAAATAAAAAACTATGCAGATCACTCGCCGAGAGCGCCAAACAGCAACAAAATGTTTCCACTCTCTTAATGGTTGCGAAGCCTACAGTTGTCCTACATCGCTAATTTTGGTATCATTGGAATCGCAATAAAATTCTCTACACGGACATATGCATATGAATGTTTAATATAGGTAATTGCCCACCCGCAAGAGTGTGTGAAGTGGAGAGTAGTTAGCCGTGAGCGCACTGGCGAAAACACGGGGGAAATCATGCTTGGAAAGTTTATACGTTTCCTGACCCTACTTTTCTATGTACGTATTTCTTTTTTATACCAATGTGTTCGCAATAAAATTTTCTATAAGATGAACTGTATAACATTTGTACAAAGCATGTGTAAGAGAAGCGCCAAATATAGAACCACGTCGCTCAGTATGCGTTCGCGGCAGAAACGAACGCATTATTTTCGTTCGTTTGATGTTTGTCATGTTTATACTTGTTGAAACATTTTATAATTTGTATGACAGTGATCGCAATAAAGTTCCCTACACAGACATATACAAAACACATACAAATATTTCCCACGTGTTGGATATATCAACGGCTAAAGGGAACCCACTGCCACACGCTCGCCACACCCCCAAACATACTTTGTTTATTTTTTTTTTTACTCATAGAAGTTTATGTGATATAATATTCATTCTGGTACCAAAACATTCGCAAATAAATTCTCTACAAAACAAAAGTATCCCCATCCATTTCGGTTAAAAAATGGAATTTATAGAAATATTTTTTCGATGGACGAGAAAAGTAGGCTGTTATGCGGAATCGTAAGAGAAAACGGCGACGAGTTATCTCTAATCTAAAGCGCGAAAGTGTTAAGTGTCCCCGCGGCCCAGTCCTTAACCAGGCCTCCACCCCGAGGAAGCAGCCCATAGCAGCTGTCTAACTCCCAGGTACCTATTTATTGCTAGGTAACAGGGGCATCAGGGTGAAAGAAACATTTTGCCCATTTGTCTCCGCCTCCACTAGGGACCGAACCCAGAACCTCAGGACTATGAATCTGAAGCGCTGTCCACCCAGCTGTCAGGCACCCAGACTTCACCGAAAATGCGTCGTTTTGCTTTTTTGAGCGTCCAGGCTTCGCCGAAAAATTGGCATTTCATTACATTCAACGCTGGGTTCTTTGGGGAGAGACAATTGAGGCTCCCTGAAGCTAACTGCCAATGGAGGACAAAACAGGGCCATTACCATGGAAGAGGCAGAATGCACCGCAAGTATCAAAGCCACATAAGGCCTCTGAGGACTAGGAACGTTCACAAGATACCCGACTGCCAACACCCTGTTCCACCTCCAAAACGCCCACACCTGAATATCGGCCCAAGACATTAGCAAACATTGCCATCAAAGCAGCATACTTCTGGACATCATGGGCATGAAGGTAGACAGCAGGACCCAGAATCATAAAGTAGTTATGCAAGTACAGTACTTACCAATGTGTACATCTTTCCTCAATCTTTGATAGCTTTGGTTACATTTATTAAAGTGTTTATCAAGCATGAAAACTTCCCAATCACCTGTTGCTATTGTTATAAACAGCCTCCTCGTGCTTTGGAGCTCATTAACTTAAATAATTGTAAACAAAGCCGCCAAAGATTGAAAAAAGAGAGGGTCCAGGCTGGTTAGATTTAATTACACCACAGATGACCTGAGAAATACGAGCCCTGGAACTGGGAACCTGGATCAACTCACGAGTCCACCAAAACACAAATTGGTGGCATGAAGGACAAAGACAAAGCGCATAATGCACCCCTAGGCAAACCAACCAAACATTCACGACCAAAGGACCCCTCCGGAGACCCCCCCTGACTCATTCTTAGTCAGAGAAGCAGCAGAAGGCTGCACACAAAGCACCCACCAGGGCCAAAAGAACAAAACCTTCAGTGCCAGTGAAAAGCATGAAGCTCACCCACGTGACAACCAAAGGTCAAAGAAAGCAAAAAAACAGCCTTCAAGAAAAAATCACAGACTGAAGGGGACACCATAAAGTGAGCAGAAAAGAGAAAAGAACCCAGTCCAGAGACCAGGCAGGGTTAGGCAGTGAATGAGCAGGCTGGAGGTAAAATAAAGAGCGAGAAAGTTTGCAAAACAGGGCTAAAGATATCAATCCCGAGCACAAGCTGAAGCAGCTCTGCCAATATTGCATAAGAGGCGACAGTATTTGGCAAAAAGACGCTGATCAAGAAACAGCCAAGGACAAAATAACCCGCTCAGAAACCAAAGGATAATGACAAAAAGACCGCCAAGAGAATTCATAGTCATTGACAAGACCGCAGGCGAGACACAAACCTGATAACCATACATATGGTGATAAATATAAGTTTGGCAAAGCCAGAGGAAGGAATCGGCATTAACTGTCCATTCCGTGGAAAGAGGAAGGAACCAAGACAGACTGTCAGCCAGGATGCTGGACACTCCATGGACGTGAACGGCACAGAGCCAAAAATTCAGCAGACGAGCCACTTGAAGAGACCAGCCCCAAAAAAGCAAAGGACCGAAAAGATCCCCCTGATTGAGACAATGAACAATGTCAAAACAGTCAGAGTGGAGTCGGATGACCGAGGCCTGAGGAATCTGAACTCTGCACAGCACGTGCCACACAGCCGCTAGTGTGGCACTCGTGTACAGTACTCACTGTGCACGAGTACACAACTCGTGCACCGTACTGTACGCCTAACAAAGGAAAGGATCCCAATGATCTTGGTCGAACTGGTAAGTGCTGGTCACAAAGCTCCAACCGGCAGCCAAGGCATCCATGTAAACATCAAGCGAGGTTGGAGGAAGCTGCCAGGAAAACGAACCCCCCAAAAACTCAAAGAAGCAGCTGGGGATCCAGCAAGCGGTGCAGGGCGCCCAGAGTCTGCACCCAGCGATCACTAAGAGGTGAAAGGGGATGCCGCAAAGGAACCAGAAAAGCCCCTGAAGCCAAACCCTGCTCAATGGATAAACCAGAAGGGCAAAGTTCACTCTCACACAGCTGCTCAAGGAATAACAGGTAGATAGGCTGGCAGGACAGGAGGCAGGCAACTTGTGGTTAGATGGTTACTAACAATAAGGCTGGGGTTTCCCTGTAGACACCACAGAGAAACTGTTAAAGAAAGCAGCATGGTAGTGCGAGACGTATATCTACGGAAGTACTTTGGGGCTTTGGGCTGGATTGGTGACTGGATCATCATTTAACCCTTCTACCAGAACTGGAAATGCAGCAACAGGAACAACTACCCCTCGAAAAAAAACAAACAAATTCCAGTTGTTATGAACAGAATGAAAGTTATGAATGTAAATGCACAAAGAATTACAAATAAAGAGATATACCTTTACAGAAATAGAGTGAAAGAACAATCACACATTATAGCAATAACAGAAATTAAACTGATAAGTGCAATAGGAATTTAAACGTTCCCATGACGATATTAAGTACTATGGAAAAATATGGGTGAATAGAATGGAAGGTGGTGTAGCCCTGTTGCTACAGGGCTACACGGGAGTTTCTGTGGAGAGTCCAGTCGGTTTCCTGAAGCTATCCGAATTGCTATAGTGCTATATTGGTTTGAGGTCGTCAGTCACAGGAGTCCATTTGCCTACTGAGGACTATGAGCCAGAACCTGTACCCCCTCAGAGGCACAGGGAGCAATGACCTATGAGCACTTTACATTTAAAGTATAGTATGCCATAATTGCTGGCACCCAGATAGGAGAGAGATAGATAGGAGAGGAAACAGACCACAATCTTGTGAAAATTGCGACCTGCGGTTGACACAGTTTGCGTTACTTCCCTTGGGTACACACTATACTTTGTACTTTATTTTACCTCCAATGCAGAGGCAGATATTTTTATCTGACTGCCAGTTTGTTTGCTGTGTGTCTTCGGGGTGTTATGGTTTTTCAGTTCTGGCATTTTATTCCTTTTGTGAATGGAGGTCTGCCTAGCTTCTTATTAGGCTAGTCTAGGTTGTGATAATGGTCCTCCTCTGTTGCCCCTGAGGTTTTACACCAGCTACTGGTGGTCAGTTGGCCTGCTA